GTTTTAATTAGGGGTACAAGTCATGGACAGGTCACGGGCAGTAAACAAAAATTCACAGCCCGTGACCTGTCCATGACTTGTACCCCTAATTAAAACTTGGGCTGGGGGGCTGCAGGTGCTCGGGGTGGTCGTGGTCTGGGGGTGCCATAGGTGCTGGGGTGTGTGGCCCAGGACCCCTGCTGGTGCTGGGGGGTAGGCGGCGCCACGTAGACTGAGGGGGAGGAAGAGGGGGGCGAACAGCCTGGGTCCCCTGCTGGTGCTGGGGGAGGGCAGTGTTGGCGGGGCTGGCAGACTCCCTACCCGGCTCTGCATGTCCCTGCAGCTCCCAATGGGGGAGGGAAGGCCACAGGGGCTCCCCATGCTGCCCCCACCATGAGCTCCGACTCTGCAGCTCCCATTGGCAGGGAACCGAAGCCAATGGGAGCTGCGGGGGCAGCACCTGCGAGCGCGGGCAGCACGCAGAGCCCCCTGACCCTTCCACCTACGAGCTCCAGGGATGTGTCAGTCGCTTCCAGGGAGCGCCCCCCAGATAAGCGCCGCCCTGCACCCCAAGCTCTGCCCCAGCCCTGAGCCCTTTCCTACACCCAAACTGCCCCAGCAGCAGCCGGTGCGGCTGGCACAGGGGCTGCCTGATCTGCTTGGGCAGCTCTGGAGCTAGCTGCACCGGCCGCTGCAGAAGTCACGGAATTCGTGATTTCCGTGATCTCTGTGACAGACACGTAGCCTTACCTATCCTCCATGAATTTATCTAGTTCTTTTTTCAACCCTGTTATAGTCTTGGCCTTCACAACATCCTCAACATCCACAGGTTGACTGTGTGTTGTGTGAAGAAATACCTCCTTTTGTTTAAACCTGCTGCCTATTAATTTCATTTGGTGACCCCTTGTACTTGTGTTATGAGGAGTAAATAACATTTCCATATTTACTTTCTCCACATCCGATATAGACTATCATATCCCCCTTAGTCATCTTTTTTTCAGGCTGAAGAGTTCCAGGTCTTATTACTCTCTTCTCATATGGAAACTGTTCCATACCCCTAATCATTTTTGTTGCCTTTTCTGAACCTTTTCCAATTCCAATATATCTTTTTTGAGATGGGGCGACCACATCTGCACGAGTATTCAAGATATGGGTGAACCATGGCTTTATATAGAGGCAATATGATATTTTCTGTCTTATTATCTATCACTTTCTTAATGATTCCCAACATTTTATTAGCTTTTTTGACTGTTGCTGCACATTGAGTGGATGTTTTCAGAGAACTATCCATAATGACTCCAAGAGCTCTTTCTTGAGTGGTAACAGTCCACTTAGACCCCATCATTTTATATGTATAGCTGAGATTATGTTTTCCAATGTGCATTACTTTGTATTTATCAACACTGAATTTCATCTGCCGTTTTATTGCCCAGCCACCCAGTTTTATGAGATCCCTTTGTTACTCTTCACAGTCTGCTTTTCACTTAACTAAAATAAAGTAAAGATGACTTGACTAAGTAACTTGACTAAGTAAAGTAAAGATGAGATGAGATTTAGTCTAAACTACATCAAATGCACTAACATTTTCTAAGTAACTGGGTTGAGTGGTATGGGGTGAGGGTGGAGGTGGTCTGTTTTTTGGCAAAGCCACCCAAAAAAGAATATTTTCAAGAGAACTTGTCATGTGTTCTCAACTATGTTAGTGGACTCTTGAAATGCATCCCATCTTTTAAAACAAACTGTAAAAATTAAACTGGCACATACTGTATATACAAATGTGAGGACTGCATCTCAGTTTTTCAGATTATTCAGTTTAACAGGAATCAATAAAACACAGAAGCAAAGCACCAATGGCCATCTTTTCCAAGTCTCTGAAAAATGTCCTGACCTCTCCTTGAGGCCTTCATGTCTCTAATGTCTCTTCATTTGCTCCACAAGTATCAACAACACAGATTAAACAACTCGTCACTGGGAAAGCACGGACTTTGGAGTTGGCTACCCACTTGTCTGTTTCAGTATTATATTCAAGGATGTGCCCTAATCGGCCCACACCCTGAAAGCCAGCCAGGACATAGACTATAGAGCCCACAGCAGCACACTTCACTGTTACACCCTTCCATGGCATTGGTGACACCATCTTCCATTCATTCATCTTAATATCATAATATTCCACGTTGTCTAGGCCACCTTGAAATGAATCAAACAAGTAACAATTAACAGCAATATGAACACTGCCACCGCTTACATAAAAATCTCACAGAAAATGCCTTTGACCGATAGTAGTAGAAGGCTCTTTAATCTATCATACATCTTCTCCCTGTGGGAGTATTTATAGAACACGCATATTTGTGTAGCGTGTGCATAACCACACATGTGGGTAATGTTTGTGCTGCTGGAGTTCCAGTTGTGTAACATTTCCAATTATAAATTGCTATTTAATGATTCTTCATTAAAACTTTCACTCTGGGCTGAAACTTGACATCCAATTTTATTTTTTAAATTAAAATCAACCCCCTCCCCCATTTCTTAGAAGGCAACATGTTCTTTAATTGGGATTAGTTGTTTTTTCTTTCAAAAGAGGGACGGGGACAGGGGAAGCGATGAAAAGCAGTTACAAGACCCCAAACATGAATGTATAGCATCTCATCCAAAACATCTTAAAAAGCACTTTACAAACAGTTCCTCACAACACTATCACCCACAAGGCAGAGAGGAGTATTTATTCCCAGTCCCAAATTCTAACTGTTTAGATACATGGGATTTTAAGAACACATTATGACCTGAAGAGATATGGAATCCATGACCATGGCACTGTTGTTATACCACAGTGACTGCACTGAAAGGAAGTAATTAGTCAATCAGGCCAATTTTCACTGAACAAAAAGTCAACTGCAAAATAGTATTTTGGCCTTACTGGGTAAGTGGTGTATGTTTTCAAATTGGGTGTTCAACTAGTAGGCTCAAAGGGTGGAGTTTCTAACTCTGATTGTCTCATTGTGTGCACGTAAGATGCACCTACATATACCTCTTTGCACTGAAAACTACCCATTACGTTGGAATACCGTTAGTAAATATTTTGGGACAGTTTATAATTTGCCATTTAATTAGCATTAATCTGAAACAAAATATTCCAGTTGTTAGCATGAATAAGTAATAATAAGTTTAGCATCTGAGTAATTTTCATCTTCAAAGCACTTTAGAAACATTACCTAATTAACTTTCATCACTTCTGTGAGGTAGGTAAGTATTATTATTTCTGTTTTACAGGTGGGGAGACAAACAGAGGACAAGAGACTTGCCCAAGACTGCCCAGCAAATCCTATGTTATGTATTCAGGGCAGTCAAAACAAGTAGTTTCACCCTTTTAAATTATTGATTTGTAATAATCCTTTAGACTGTAAATTCCTCAGGGGAGTGACTGTATCTTTCTCTCAAGCACACCGTTGCCACTTCTCAAAAATATTTAATGAACAGTAATGAAGTTACCCTCTTGTCAAATGTTCTAGAATAGTTTCATTTAACAGTGGGAACAAACTTCCCCAAAGTACTTACTACTGGCAGTTCCACCAGATCCAATTTCAAATAGGAACATTTGGGAAGTATCTAGGATACAAGGAGGCAGGAAGAAGGGAGGCAACAGTGGAGGGAGGAGAGTGTGTGTTTGCTGTCACCCCAAAAGCAAAGAAATGGAGATCAATATCATAAAAATGCAGTTTCTGACACTGCCAGTGTTCAAGAAGTGAAGCTACTAGAGAGCTTAGCAATTCTCCCAATCTAGCTGCAAGGGAAACCTTCCTCAGCTGGGAGGGAGGGAGGGGGAACAGAGTGCTGAACAAAACAAATAGGTAGGTTAATTATTCGTAATGACTCAGTAATTCCAACATACCGCTAGGAAAGGAATTGAAAACAAGGGAAGAGGGTTTGTTGAAGAAGCTGCCATCTTTTGCATATGATGCAATAATGAGGGCCCTTAATAGCCTGAGGTTGTTCAGATCCCAGAGCTCTTTTCACATAAGAGGGGTGCTTACCCTTGTATCCTGACTAAATTCCAATTTCAGCCTTTTAATAATACCTTTATGTGACTGCATGGTACCAGATTTCTACTAAGCATAAGGCAAAATTCTAAACGATAGGTTGACTGTATCCTAATTTCTGACCTAGATCAGATTTTACAGTGTGAGTATTCAAAAAAGGGAATACGATATAGATTCTGTTCTTATTTTGCATGATTGCCATGCTACCAAGCAATACATTCCAAAAATAGTAGAAGTAGCTTTATCAATAATTGTAGTGATTTGATGTATTAACAAAAACAAACTAACAAGTGTTCTTCCAAGTTACAAAGTAGCATAATTCCAATTTTAACGTTCATGTTATCAAGATAACTCATCCACTAGTTTAGTTGGAAGACTGCAAACCAGTCTTTTACTCATCTGCTCATAAAGAGTCCTTCAGTTGCGTGAACATGACTGCAATGAACTTTCTCTGTCCAGTACTGATTAGCTGTTTGCTTCAACCTTCTTCCTCCCTCACAGTCTCTTTACTTTAGCTTCACTCCACACCTACCCCTCTAATCCTCTCCTGCCCCATCCCGATCCCTCCAGTTGATCCCCTCTTAAGTAAATCCACCGCCCCAACCCCAAAATTGTGGAACTTGTATGCTGTTTACCACTATCACATTCTTCACTCTGCTAGTGTGTTTTACCTTTTCTCCCACCCTGTGTCTGTCTTGTCTATTTAGTTTGTAAGATCTTCAGGACAAGGAGTATCTGTTACTCTGTTTGCTCGCTCAGTGTCTAGCACAATGGGGCCCTATTCCTGGTTGGTCTTTAGGTATTACTGTAATAAAACATGATTATTAATCATTAATAACTTGTATGTATAAAGAACACAGTCAGAAACAATATTTTGAAGAGTTACAAAACTGAATACCTAAGCCATTTTGTCCACCCACAGCAAATATTTTGTCTTTTACAAACACCAGCCCATGATTCTTCCTGGCTTCTATCATTGGACACAGCTCAGTCCACCTGAAAAAAAGAAAAAAAATGAAGAGTTACTTACCTAGTTCTTGGTCATTTATTTACATTTCTTTCCCATCTTCTGGGATTGGGGAAAGGCAAGGTATGGAGGAGGAAAGCTACCTAAAGCACAGACCTCCAGTTTGCAGCCAGTCAGTCAAATATCTTGGATTCCTATTCACTATTCCTGTCCCTTCTTCAGTAATTGCACAATTCTTCCTGGTTGTCTATAGTTTAGCTATTTGAAAAGCGAGCAAGTCCACAAGAGCTACCAGTGACAAAGGGCGTTAGCATTGGTACATACGTTTCTGTTGCTGGATCATAAACTTCACAGGAATTCAGGACCCTTCCAGAAACATTGTTTCCCAAGCTTCCTCCACATACGTAAATCAGGCCATTTGCCTCCACCATCCCATGACTGCAACGCTGAGTCAGCATGCTGGGCTTTGTGTGCCAGCTTTCTGTTCTTGTATCATAGCATTCAAATAAATACAGAGCAGAATTTCCTTCAAGAAAACAAAGTAATATTTACTTTAGCGGTTGTATCTGAAAAGAAAAACCTAACAATACTGAGTTAATACTTCAATCATTAGTTAAAGGGGAAAGTGGTTTTCTATCCCGTTCCTCTCTACCCCACCCCCCTAAAAACTAGCTGGCCTTAAACCTGGGATAAATTTTGATATCTGTACTTTAAAATTTAATGAAAGTCATTTGGATAGCTCAGGGAGGTGGATTAAAAAAAGAAATGAACAGACACATGAGAGAGTACATTTACATATAATTGATAAAATGATAGTTTATGTCAGCTTCATTATTTGAAATGTGCTGAACTCTTAGATGCCACAGTCAAATTGATAAAGACTTGTAAATTGTCTTTGCACAAATTCATACAAATCAACAGGATTCACATGACAATACACGGCTTGATTAATTCACTTCATAACGCTGGTCACAATGTATTATTTTTTGGAATGATGTGGTAGCTTACGTCCATGTGATTAGTGACCATTTAACTACAAAGCTACCATTTGATATTGTACTTCTTTTCTGGGGGTGGCAAGATGGCATGTGCCTCTCACTTTCTAAAGGTCCCGTATCAGTGCCTTTCCCTTGAAAGGCCCAATCCAGTTCCTTCTAAAGTCAATAGAAAGAGTCCTATTGATTACAACAGTAATTCAATGATACTTAAGCTGATGCTAAAGTGCTTGTCTGAATCAAGGCCCAACTGAAGAAGGTTGGATATGGTTTCCTCTAGCTACTCTGTCATTTTAACTCTTCATTCCATCAGATATCATCACTCGACTGAAGGCAAGGTATTTCCCCCTTCTTTCTACCTTTAGGACTGAGCATGCTACTTCTGCAGAACTCCCAACCCTTGCCTGCCTTGGGAGGTAGGGATTCAAACCCTTGGAACCCATGTGGGAGAGCATTACATTTTCACTAGGCCATCAGGCCTGCATAGACTTCTATGAAACATACATGTATATTGTACATATTATCATCCGACTAGCCAAGCTGCACATTAACTAATTATGAAACAGGCTGTGTCACACTTTAGTTCCATTTAGCAGGGACAACATGGGATAATAAACAATCATAAAGCTAAACTACACACGGAATGGAGCATATTCTTCCTTTATATAAATACACACACATTAACGCTAATGGGAATTGTGCAAGTTAGCATTAACAGGAATGGCCATAGAACTTTATTTTAAAAAATCCGAAATATAACATCAGTTCTGAATACATTTTCAATACAATATAAAGGAATCTCTCTTTTTGTCCAAATAAAATAAAGAGTTCCATCACTTGCAACAGCTAACAAAAATTTTCAAGTTAAAACTAAAATGCACTCCCACCAAAGCAATAAGGGGGAAAGAGGCCATATTAGCCAAAGTATAGTCTACAGTGAATAAATAGAAATCAGCCAGTGAAATCCTCAACCTGGATTAAATTGGTACCATGTTTTTCAGACTCTTATCATAGCCAATCCAACAACACACAATAAGTTACTGATTTGTCGAGGAGTTTATTGAAAAATCTGTAATTTACAACTAAGTATTATAGGAAGATTAGGGAAAAAAACTTTAGACATAAGACAGGTAAAAATGTTACTTATTCACTTTGATCTTAAACAGGATGGTAAAAGTTTGTCACAGTTTGAATAAAAATATTCTTCTGGACAATTGGCCAATGTTTGTCTAAGATTCTTAAATACACTGCCAAAATTAATTCTAATAGAATAGTAAGAGGAGAACTAAATATCTTAAACATTTATAGTGATAAAAGGAGAACTATACATCTTATTTAACTGAAAACACATAAATCCTAGAACAGTTTCCTATTACAGGTTTATTAACTTCACAAGATGCTGGGCAAAAGAACCTATGCAGTCAAAGTTTCGGACACACTACCTTCATGGACTGTTGTTTTGGACAGAGAAGGCTAGGCCTTACTCAGATCTGAATATCACAGCATGAGATGAGTAAACGATTTGAAAGAGGGAAAACGGTTATTTCATATGTACAACACTAGATGGCAGCAATGAACTGTTGCCTTATCAATTGCAAAGTCAAACCTGATGAAGTATTTTAAAATCAAATGCTATCTAAATATCACAACTTCTTATCAAGGTAGTAATATTTCAGTGTTAAACAACCATTAGCATCAGTGCTTATCTTCTACTTGCTTTATTCTGCAGCAAGGCAGAACTCAAAATGACTTGCTATGAATTGTACTGTCACAGCATTAGATATTTTGGCAGACTGCAGAGCTTTTAGCTCTCACAGCAATAATCTGTGAGATTCTACATACATTACATTGCAGCAATTGGTCTGATGAAGACCTTACTTACATCAGTGTAAATTAGGCATAAGACAATTGAAATAAATTGAGCTAATACTAAAGTGTGAAATCAGAACCAAGGCACTTGTCTTGGCAATAATTTTATCTTCCTCTGTGGTTTACGGGATCTTTTTCACTGTTACACAGTCAAAAATCTGTTTCTGAAGGAGAAAGTTAACTTCAGTTAATGAGGCAGAAACTAACAGAGAACGAGAGAAAAACAAACCAGCAAGAAGCAACTTTTTTCAACAAATAATCCCCTAAAATTGGGGGATAGGAAATCTTTCTTTCCATGAATAGTTAAGTAGGGTTTTCCCTCCAGTACAAATGGATAGCTTTTGAAAATACTATATAGTTACATTAAATGGCATTATTAAGATAGCTGATATTTGGGCTTCATATTTATTAGGCCCATTATAGTAAGACTATTAACAGAAATCTTATTCACATTAGCTACCCAAATGCAATGTCTTGGTACTGCATTAGCTGTGACAAAAAATCTTGGGCTACATTCTGCTATTACTGAATCAAAAGTCAGTGGAATCATCTGGGAGTTACACCAGTAAACAGAGAACAGAATTTGACCCCCAAAATGTATTTGCTTGCAGCTAATTTACTCCAGGCAGTTGTAGTAATTTCTTTATGATACAGATAAAAGATAGACTGTTCATTTTTACTCAGTAAAATAGCATCTAAAAATGCAATACAAATTGATAAAACCTCTCAGCATCTGGGAAAAGAGAGACCTAATATTGAACAGAAGAACTTTATAGTCTAGTATTAACCACATGTACAGATTCTATTCAAACAAGGAAGTAATGGAACTAAAAAGCATTTAATGTATTTTTGGTTTTTTTTTTAAAAAAAAGATTGTCTCTTACCCACTTCTGAACCACCAGATGTATAAATTTTGCCCTCCGCAGCACAGGCTGCAAGGCTATCTCGAGGCGTTGGAGGTCCCAGTTTGGAATACCAGCTATCCTTCACCACATTGTAGCAGTCCATTCGCTTTATAGGGAAGAGTTGGGAGCCACCCAAAATATAAACTACATTGTCCCAGAAGACACAAGCTGCATCTCTGCGCTTTTCAAAGGGACATCGGATGTCTGTCCAGCTGTAATCCTGCATTATAAAGAACAGGTAATGTCTACCTGGAGTGAGAGTTTTCAAAGAAATATTTTCACAGAGATTTAGACATGATCAGTTTTAAAAGTTTCCTTTTCAAAACAAAACACCAGTACTGTGAATTGAAGAACGCTCCTCAGGCACATACGTTTTGAAAAATTCTCTTAGACACACATGCAGTTAGCTGCAACGAACCATGGCAGTACCAATTTCTATTTTCTTATTCCTTTTGTGCACCCAAAACAGCTTCCTGAGAACTGAGAATTTAATAAAAGCACAAAAAGTACAAAAGAAGATTTGATCTCCTACTAACATCATGTCAGAAACTATACATGCTGTCCATAAAATGATTAAAGCTGTTTATTTTATGGGACTGGAAGAAGAGACATCTGATATAGAGAAAGAACACATTACTACAGAATAAAAATATGCTCAGTTTTACAAAAGAGTGTTAAAAATTTGCATCTCACATAGAGCTCTAATTGCTGACAGCTAGGAGCTTGTTTACAGTTTTTAGCAACACGTTATACATAGCTATCCACAGTGGATAGCACTAATAAAAACTGATAATGCTGCTGGCAGAAATGTTAGCAGCCATCCTGTCAGGGATCTGAGCTCTAACAGACTGCAAGAAGAAACAAGTACCAAACATGGGTGGTAATGAGCGGGGGACCTTCGCTGGGGAAGTCCTAGAAACGTCCAACCAAGGAGCTGACCGCACACTGTGATGGCATATAGTACAAGAGGCAGCTTTTAAAACAGCTACATCTCAGATTGTTCAGCGCTTTAAAAGATTTTCACCAACAGCTTGAATTGCACCTAGTGGTGCACAGGGAGCCAGCGAAGAGATTTGAGCACAGGGATTACATGTGCATCACCCTACTCCATTTGGGTGGAGGGTGGCTGCTTTCTAAAGTTGCTGGGTGGTCTTCAAGATAACTGTAAGTACATGTATTTCAAGGAGGTAGCATGAATGATACTTGGTCAGACATGGAGAAAGAAATGTTACCAATATCTGGACTCAATGTAAAGATAACAGAGCTAAGTAAAATCAATATACTGACGACTGCAGCCCCAAACAGCTTGCAATCTGCCTTAGAAGCATCACACACATCAAGAAGGGTTGACAAGATGCATGCAGACCTTGGTGATAATGAGCAATGGGCTAACACTAATTCTTGGGCCTATGTGACAGGCTGGCTGGCCCCTTATGGGGAGTCAGGCTTAGCCTTGCCTGTGATGGATCAGTTCTCCCCCAGGTGGATCAGGTGGCTGAATTCAGTTTCAGACCCACCTGGGAAGGCATCAGATGAATTCCATAAATGGCTGGGAGCATTCAGCTGGTGAGAAGAGCTGCAAGAGGAAAGTTCTGTCCTGTGACTGGCCCTTAAGGGAGAAAGTGGCAGGAAAAGAGGATCCTGTGGCAGGCCCTGGAAAGGGCCAAAACCCAGGCAGACGGCCAGGAGGGAGATTAGGAATCGGGATCCAGTCTGGTAAGAAAGGCTCCAGGGAGAAGCCTTGAGGGTCAGCAGCTTGGATCAGAGCTAGGCCTCTGGGGAAAAAAATCTGTCAGTGCCCCACAAGAGTGGGGCAGAAGGGCCCCCCCAAGGGTGGTGGAAGACCATTCTATTTTAGGTCACCTTTGGGACTCCTGTTTAAGTTATCAGTATGATGCTGTATGGAATTTGGGGGACACTTTAGGATATTATGAACATTAATACTGTAAAATTGCAATGAGTTGTGCCAGATATGTCATGTAAGATATCTGCAAAAATGATATAATTTGACAAATACGATAATCTCATTTACGTGTCTGCATCACCTTTGGGGTCAGAAGAACATTTCTGTATATGTGAGCAGAGTTTTTTAAATAACTTCTCACTGTACTGGACCTAGGTGCTGACTGGGAGCCAGAGAACTGGAATGCAATAAGGGGGCTGTGAGATTTCTTTTTTGCTTCTTGATAACCAGTGGGGGAGAGGAAGGAGAAGGATCAGAAGCGCAGTCTGTGACTGGTTGGGGAGTTTAACCTCAGTGTTACCCACCAGTCTTGGAAGCATCTGCTCTCCCTTTCGCAGCCTGCTCTGACCTTGGCATTTCGGGTCACAATCAGTAATGCCACATGAGGATGCTGTTTAGGCTGACCCTCCTGACAGCCTCCTTGGCATTTCGGGTCACCCCGGGTCACAATCAGTAATGCCACATGAGGATGCTGTTTAGGCTGACCCTCCTGACAGCCTCCAGAGAAGGTATGCTACAGCACTGGAAGAAAACTAACCTTATCAAGGAATACTTAAACCTCAAGTTCTCTTGCTGCTTTGTGTAAGATCATCCTGTTTTCTACCTGATTTCATTGCAAAAAGCTTCTCTCCCGCAACTGCAGAGGGGATCTAGTAGGTTTGACCCCCTTCAGCAGCCTCAATCCACAACTCCTATTTCCCCCAGAATCATGCTTCAGACCTTGTAGGGAAGCCCAGGGCCTTCCATGACCCTCCTCTGGGGTGACCTATTCAGCAGACTCATCATCCTCTAACTAGAAGCAAGCAAGGTCCTGTTCTGGTGATGAGGTACTGCTCCCCACTACTAGCCTGTGTCAGGCCTGGTTGGTTTTGGGGGTAAAGGAGAGTAAAAAAGGGAAGCCAGAAAGTTTGAACTCGATAGTTCAGGTTGTCAGAGAAAAAGCATACAAGATTTGTGCTGATGGCTTAACAAGAAGCCAAGATTGTTACCCATCTGTCATGCTATTCAGTAGCGTGGATTGGGAAATAGTTTCCCCTCCGCTCCCCCGCACATGATTTAGATTTATTTTAAATTAAATATTGAAAACTGAAATATTTCATTAAAATGGTGCCATGGTGTCTCATGAAAGCTGTAGTTCAGATGCCTTATGCAATCATTCTCCTCTATGAGCTGAACTACATCTTCTATGATGCACCACTCTTTCCCCCCTCTTAGTGAGGGAAAGGCATGCATCACAGGAGCCCTTAGCCATGGTGCATCTAGGAAAGCAGAATTTAACTTTAAAAAGGACACTTAATTGACTAGATAGCAAGTTGACAAAAGGTAAAAATAGCTTCCAACCACTCCTCCTAGTTTCTGTGCCAATGTGTGCAATCACATTTTTCTATTTTTAAATGGTTTTCCTGTTCCCTGTTTTATGATAAAAGGAAAAAAACAACAGGAAAACCAACTAGCAGTCTGTACAGGAGAAAATCTGCATTTGACGGCACTTTGTGTACTAAATAAACAACCTGAAAGAAATCTTTTGCACCTTGTTATTTACAATTGTTATTTGTAACACTAGTAGAGAAAATATTTTTAGGGAGACATGCAATTTTTGCAAGTTGATTGTGTCCCTTTAACTCTTAAATTTCTTCACTTAAGTGAAGATTTAAATTATATTTTATCTGCTACAATAGCAGATGTCATGCAACCACCATGTTGTTACTCTATAATATTTTTTAGAATTCCTCCAAGGAGGATACTTAATCTAGTTTGGAGAAGTATTATATAATCACAGCAAAGGATGAATCAGAGACATAGGGAAAGGCAGGACTTTCCAAGGTTAAACAGCAGCTAAATCCCAAAATAAGAGGATAGCAACATGGGACTCAATGATCCTTCTATAACCTGTAGAAGACACTAACTGGTATCCCTGTGGATTTATTTAATGACAATGCTCTAAGGCCCCAATCCAGCAAAGCACCTGCTTTGCTGAATAAGAGCATTAATAATAGTGTTGGTTCCCACACAGAACTTAATTCCTTTGTGATTTGTCATCTGAAATGCCTTCCAAGTGGCGGTGTTTTTTTTTTTTTTAATATTGATGACAGGTTGAGAAAGATGCTTAATCACCCTCTTTGAAGGCAATGCTCCTTCCCACCAAATAGCTTCCCCTTCCAAATTACTGGATTGGAAACAACCTTTAGCAGTGTTTCTTCAATAGAAGTGTAGGAAAGTCTCTACATTAAAGTTAAATATGAAGGACTACCTCTCTAGCAAACCTGTGTGCAGCAGGCAGCATATAACTGAGTTTTATTCTTAAGGCCCTGTAAAGATTTACATATGTGCTTAACTTCTTGTACTGTGAGCAGTACTACTGATTTCAATGAGATCACTGGCAATACGTAAAGTTAAGCATGTGCGTCAATCTTTGCGGGATTAGAGCCTTAGATTGCAAATGCTGTGTCCGTGTGCATATACCACTCCAAGCACACTGGGGCCTTGATCCTTGCTCGGTGGCTTCTAGGTGATACCACAATATTAATTTAATAAAAGATTAATTACAGTGCTGCTTGAGAGACTTATTAAAAGCTCTTTCAGTATTGTTGGTGTTGAGTAAATACAGAACTGCTCAACAACATGTATCAAATGTAACAATTAATATATGGGTAGTTAGCAGCACAAGTGTATGAGCACCAGCCAGTGTTTACAAAACACTTTTACCCTGTCTTTGATTCTCAGATCCCCAATTACGCACTTGTCACTCCTCTTTACCGTCCCAACTTCAAGGCCATATAACTCAGAAGGAGTTCTTCTGACCAAGCAAGGCTGCACAAAGCTCCATCCAGAGTCAAATAATTCTGACCTTGTGATAGGCCAGAATAATTGTTGCAGAACATTGGAAAATTCAAAGGGCTCCATGTGGTCTAACTCAAACCATTTTACTTGTAATATCTCATTTAGGTTTTGGTTGAAGATCACTTGACAGCAAACACAACCTTTCTTCAAGTTGCAAGTTATTGCCTTGCAGCACACACACACAGCATACATCAGGGGCTTTTACAAGATTAAGCCTTCAAAAAAAATATCTAGGAATTTTGTACTAGTTTATATAGTTATTAATGGGTCTTCCCCCCTCTCCACTTTTACTTCAATTAACAGGAAGTACTTATCATGGAATTTAGCCTTTTTATTATTAGTTATGTTGGCAAAGAGACTGGATATACTCTAAGCCAAGATAACAGAACTACCAATTAATGACTGAAGTTGTAGTACTCAGAGCCAGTTTCCATGCTGCCTTAAAATAATTTCATACTTTATCTATGTGATCTGCGATTAAGAGAAACAATTTGATCTAACATAGAGAGGTCAAAGCACATTGCATATATCACAGCCTTGTTAAATGTCAGAAAAAAATAACTGTTTGAAGAGGATGAATAGACTGATCAAAGATAGTAGGTATGTTTTCAAACATGGATTGCACCTGAACAACCTCTTGCTGGGAATTCATCATTTTACCCTGGAAATGATACCCTACCATACAAATCTCTACTCTGTTTCTTACAAGGACAGTGTTCATATATCTTTCTTTAGTATGTGAATCAAGTGATCAGAGAGGTAAAGTACAATTAATTATTTAGGAATCCACACTTCCTAACAGAATTCCATCTTTGGAGATAGAGAATTTAAGTGCTTTCTAAGAGCCAAGTGACAGATGCAGGTATAGGAAAGAGCAAGTCTGGTTACATTTTCCTGGATTTCAAAGGAGACTATCTGTGCACAAAAAGGAAGAGACATGGAATGAAATCCTAATCCTAGTGAAGTCAATGAGAATTTTGCCATTCACTTCAAATGGAACCCAAGATTTTACCCATGGACACCTACATTCTGAATCATAAGTTCTATGGCCTCAAATGGCCCTTCACAGTCCACCAAAAACACACACAGCATACAGCCATTTGAAACTGTAACACATATTTGATATGCCAATTTTACAGCAATACGTCTGGTATGGTATATTCCTTTGTGATATTTTTATAAAAACACATCATATCACCCCAATTAATTTTTAAAATATATATCAATGTGTTTTAGGATTCGTGTGTGTGTTGGGGTGATAGTGGAAAGCATAGATAATCTTTCTGTAAGCAGCTGAGGTTACCAGAGTATATATACACTGCATACCATCCAAATTTACTCCCTTCCTGCAGTTTGGATTTATTAGTAACTGAAATAAAAAAATCTACATTATACAAAAAAAAAAAAATCAATAAAGCACACGTTAAATGGATTAAGAACTGGCTAATGGATAATTCTCAAAAATTAGTCAAGGGAGAATCACTGAATGGGACGTTTCTAGTGGGATTCCACAGGGATCAGTACTAGGCCTCATGCTATTCCACATTTTCATAAATGATCTGGAAGTAAATATAAAATCACTGCTGATAACATTTTCTAATGATACTTAGATTGGTGGAATGGTAAATGATGAGTACAGGGCAGTCACACAGAGCAACTTGGATTGCTTGGTAGGCTGGTCCATTCAAACAAAATACACCTTAATACAGCCAAATGCAAAATGATAAATGTAGGAACGAGGAAAGCAGGCTATACCTAGAGAATTGGGACTGTATCCTGAAAGTCAGGGACTCTGATGTGGACAACTTAACATGAGCTCCCAAAGTGACGCTGTGGCAAGCAGGGCTAATGCGATCCTTGGAGATGCATGCTGGGGAGTAGGAAGGCGATTTTAATTCTATGCACAGCATTGGTGAGACTGTACTGTGTACAGTTCTGGTGTCCCTATTTTAAAAAGGCTGTTGAAAAAATGGAGAAGAGGGCCACAAAAATTATAAGGAGAAAATGTCTTACAGTAAGAGACTTAAAGAGCTCCATCTGTGTAGCTTATCAAAAAAGAAGACTGGGAGGTACCTTGACAGGGAGAAAAATTAAGGGCTCTTTAATTTAGTGGAGAAAGGCATAACAAGAACCAGAGGCTAGAAACTGAAGCCAGACAAATTCAGATTGGAAATAAGACACACATTTTAACAGTGAGGGTGATTAATCATGGGAACAAACGACCAAGGGAAGCAGTGGATTCTCTCATCTCTTGAGGTCTTTAAATCACAACTTGTTGCCTTTCTGCAAGATGTGCTTCAGCCAAGAACAAGTTGTTGGGCTCAGTGCAGGCTTAACTGGGTGAAATTTAAGTGCCTACATTATACAGGAAGTCAGAATAGATGATCTAATGGCCTCAGTCTTTGAATCTCCAAGCTTGGCTGGTTTTTAAGATTTTTAATTAAAGATCCTCTTTGGCCCAACAGTTAGTTCTCTGTGTTTCAGAAAGGCTCCCACTCCACTTAGATGCTGACTAGAACTAACAAGATGCACCCACCACTGTGACTTAGTAGTAATTACCTAGCAACAGAGGGTCCTGTGGCACCTTTAAGACTAACAGAAGTATTGGGAGCATAAGCTTTCGTGGGTAAGAACCTCACTTCTTCAGATGCAAGTAATGGAAATTTCCAGAGGCAGGTATAATCAGCAAAGGAACTAGGCTGGGGGAGGTAGGGAGTGAGCCCAGGCGAGACAGGTCAGCCTGTAAAAGGAATCCCTGGAGATTTAAGCTGCAAGCAGTGCAGTTTACCTTCAAGAAACTCTGCAACCTGCTTGAAACAACATTTAGGGTGAGAAATGATTATTTGTAGCCACTATTCCTTAGTGTATATTAAGCTTAGTTTGCGTGTTTGGTTTTATTTGCTCAGTAATCTGCTTTGATCTGTTTGCTATCCCTTGTACTCACTTAAAATTTACCTTTTGTAGTTAACAAACTCGTTTTTTGTTTATTCCAAAACCTATTTTGTACAATTAATAACTTGAGGGTTGGGGAGGAAGCTGTGCATATCTTCCTCCACACTGAGGGAGGGAGCGAATTTCATGAGCTTACGCTGTATACATTTCTATACAATACAGGACAAGACAATATAATTTTGGGTTAACACTCCAGAAGGTGTGTGCACCAGAGTGCTGGGCAATTCCCTGAGCTGAGCCCTCCCACACACAGCAGATTGCAGACTGTGTGAGATTCTACAGTTGGGTGTGTCCCTACCTCTGTGAGTGTGCTGGATGGGGGCTTGAGAGCCTGCCACAACAGCAAGGGGGGGTGGGGGGGGACCCAGTCTGGTGGGACAGGTGGGCTCAGTGGGACACCAGCACATCAGGTGGGACCCCGGAAAGGGGGGTCCAACCTGTCACACACATCTTTCTCTGTATCTATCTGTACAGCACCATTAGGTCATCAGTGCTCAGTTAATACCACTACAACCACCACCACAACAAATGGAAATTACAACAGAGACACTGCATGTATTCTGATGCAATGGTTTACCTTTGGATTAAAGTATCTGCAAGACTGTGGCTGTGATCCTCCAAATAAGGCAATGCGGTAATCGTGTTTTTTCCTTCGTGGCCGCGTGCCCTCCACTAGTTCTTCTCTGTCCTCCGGAGACAGCAGATGATATCGCATTCCACCTACAAGGAAATCCATGCATATTGTACAGAGAGGTATGTATGCATATGATAATCGTAGAGAAACAAATTTTAAACTAGGTTTTCCAAATATCCAGCATTTTTCTTAAACCTACTTTTTTCACTCATGAAAATATTCATCAATTTTTTCCATTTAGGAGAGAATATATAGTAGAACAGGGATTCTCAACCTTTTTCTCTCTGAGGCCCCCCTCAACATGCTATAAAAACTCCAGGGCCCAGCAGGGGGTTGGGTGGGGGGTAGGGGCCTTGGGCATAGGTGTAGTTTGATTTCTATTGGGGGGGAGGGGCACGCGCAGGGGCCAGGAGTCCAGGAAGGGAGTGCCACCCTCCACCACCTGACTCACCTCAGCAGGCCATCCACCAGTCTGGGTTGGGGGGCAATCAAATTAGAACTCAAAGGTAGGAGCTTAGCTCACAAAGTTTGAAAACAGCTTAGGGTGCAGGGAGGGAGTAGCTACGGGCTGTGTGCGGGCAGGGGGTAGCTCGAGGTGCAGAAAGGGGATAGCTGGGGCTGTGCACACAGGGGGTGGCTGTGGATGCAAGGAGGGGGGTAGCTGGAGCTGTGTGCACTCTGGGGGTAGCTCAGGGTGCAGGAAGGGGGGTAGCAGGGGCTGTGTGTGGGCAGGGGGTAGCTCAGGGTGCAGGGAGGGGGGTACTAAGGGCTGTGTGCTGGGGGGGTCCTGTTGCCAGAGGGGTCTGCCAGCCACGGAGTCGATTCTCCCCACCCAGGTGGCTCTTACTGGCTGCCTCTGTGGGAGCAAAGGGGGCTGGGATTTGGGAGCTGAGGAGCAGCTTTAACTCAGGGCACTGGCAGGAGAGGAAGGAACGCTGCGGCGGCCTGCTCCATGGCACCAGCTGCCACGCACTGCCTGTGTAATGGCAAAAACAACAGCCGGCCCATTTCCCCACCAATAGCAGTTACCTGCTGAGCTTGCTCAGTTCAGGTGAGCATGCTCAGTACAACCTAAATGAGAAATTCTCCCAGGGAGCTCTTTGTGCCCCTATAGTGGTGGGGATCAGGACTTCAGCCCCCCATGGGGTGCCAGGGATTGGGACTTTAGGCCCGCACCTCCCAGCTTGAGCCCCGCAGGGGGTGCTAGGCTCACCATCTGGGTTTCAGCCATGGGGTCCTGCGGCCCCCTTGAAAGGGCTCGCGGACCCCCTGTTGAGGGAACCGCTGTAGTAGAACATAGGGATAGGACAGATGCCCAGTTTTAGGATCCATGTCAGACAGGTCCGGCAACATCAAAATAGAACAAGGATAAAAGGTGCCTGCATGCTCTATTCGTTTAAAAATCTATCCATTTAAAGACATAACCGAAAGTTGCCACATGGAAACTGACAGAAGGAAACATGCATAGAAAAGGAAGTCCAAAGTAGAAGTATAAGGAAAGAGAAACCTGACCAGCAAAATTTAAAAGGGGATACAAATATGCTAGGAAGACACTGACTTGTTTTTAGTCTCCAGCTAACACCACAGAGGAGAGGCAGCTGTTTGCGTTCCCCTTCTCATCAACAAAACCAAACCAAAACCTTAGTTTACCTGTGGCAACCATGTAAGACCTTTTCAAAGATAATCCAAGCACTTACTTTACTGTCTGTTTAGGAAATATCCTGGTATGTCCAAAAATTTTACTAATATCAGCAGTGCTATAACTTGTCTCCTCAACCCTGCCCTGGGTTTATACCAAGAGCTCTAACCTCCATTTGGCTTTACTGAGAGTCAAGATCACTCAGCACCCTGCAGGATGAAGCCTTAAGTTTGTAAGAGTTAGCTTAGCAGGAAAAAAATGGCTGAGTGTTGCTTTTAAAGCAGTGCTATGTAGTTTATTCCAGCAGTAATTGAAAGGCTAAAACTAAATTTGGATTTTCTTTCCAAAAACCTGAATAATGTTTATGAATATCTGGATTCATCACTGACATTTGATGAAGTTTTAAGGATTGCATTAGGAATCCAGGTCAGGAAGGGGGTGTAGGAGGATTTGTCCCCTCCCTGTTTCATTTAAATAAACACAGACTATGTCAGAGATATTTCATTCAGCACCTTTAGAGTGCTGTATCTCTAGTCCCAATTGTCAGTCTGCATTAGTACCAGAGATGGTAGAGCACAGGTTTAATTTTCTTAAGTCACCTAGGGAAGCTTCATAGACTCAGACATTTTGACATAAACATTTCTTATTAATTCCAATCTAAACCTGAGAAATATTAAAGTTATTAGCTAGTCTCAAAGGTACACTAACCCTCCCAATTATCCCTAATAATCTTGACAAGGAAGCCACATTTCATTACTTATCACTAAGTTGGGATCATTTACCGCTGACTTTCATTTCTTTTCTCATTATATCTGTTATTCTCTAATAGGTGCTATTTATTTGACAAGCAATTAATTAACTTCAGCTAAACTAGACACTCTAGAAGGCATACAGTTATTGCCACATTTAAACTAAAATACAGTGAAAAATATTTTCATATTCGAGTAAGCAACAGTCAGAGAGCAAAAAAAGTTACGCATCTAAACTGATCGTATAGAATATTAAAATGTGCAACTCGGAGGCAACTTACTGATCACCATTTTAAGGCATTCAGGGTTATCCTGAATAAGTGGCTCAGCTTGTACGGTTTTACTTAAGAAGTTCTTCGATATAAGAGGAAATCTGACTTTAGCAAGGATGTCGACCATGTATGGCTGGCGGTTAGGTTCATCATACTTCAGCCACCTGACTGCTGCATCATAAACCTAAAACACAAAACCAAAACCCAGTAAAGTAGCTAAAGCTGCAAAACAGTTTTTCTTGTGTAGTTGAAATAGAGTTGCCAACTTGGTAATATTTAAAAACTGGACACTCCGGCAGGAGTGCTGGAACCTCCCCATCCCGCCTCTTCCCCAGACTCTGTCCCCATCCACTCCTCTTTCCCTCTTCCCTCCCCCCATGTCACTCGCTGCTTTTCCCTTCCCCGCCCCGCCCAGGTGAGGGGGGGATTAGCCTGCAGAGCCAAGGTTGGGAGCTAGAGCAGCCCGACGCAGGAAGGTGGTGGCCCGGGCTGAGTAGGGGATGGCATGGGTGATGACCCAGTGCCTCCCCGCCAGCAGTAACCAAACTTTGGGTGACTGGTCAGTAGATCTGACTGGACACTGCCTGGTCCCCTTTTCAACCGAACTTCCTGGTCAAAAACCAGGCACTGGCTACCCTATGTTGAAAGTTCATCTAATTTATGATTCCAGAATGTGTAAATTTCACAAAAATATGAAAAATCCAACATACTTTAACAGAGTGGTTCTCAAACTTTTGTACTGGTGACCCTTTTCACATAGCAAGCCTCTGAGTGCGACCCCCCCCATATAAATTAAACACACTTTTTAATATATTTAACACCATTATAAATGCCGGAGGCAAAGCTGGGTTTGGGGTGGAGACTGACAGCTCGCAACCCCCCCTCCCCATGTAATAACCTCGCGACCCCCTGAGGGGTCCCAACCGCAGTTTGAGAACCCCTGCTTTAACACTAAACTAAATAAACATATTACTTTAGGATAAATACAGCCTACGAAGGCTTCAGATTTTGAGAGGTCTATGCAAACCAATTCTATTTTCAAATGAAAGGCCCAATCCTGAAAATTCTTACTCACCTGCATAGCCCCACTAATATCAAGTCTACTCATGAGCATAAGGATTTGTATGACCAGGACCAAAGCAAAAGGCAGATGTTATAATACAACACAAGATTTATAACCTTGCCCTTACCTGAAGTACCTTGTACATTTTTTTTTTAAATGTTTCTCGTCTACAGTGTGAGGGAAATTTCAATTATACTGGAATTGTATGTCTCCAGAACATATTTATATTATTTTTATTCCACATTACCATAGCACCTTTGTTAGGAGGGCCAATTCAAATAAAAGTTATTTAAAACAATGAACAGCAGATTACTGCAAATGCAACATTACGGTAAGTTAACTTGGTAAAGAACCCAAGTATGCCGAAATGCAACATGTGGGCATTTTTTCTGTTGTCTTCTTGGGTGAAGTTTAAAGAAAAAAGCATCCAGGGTTTGCATGCTAAAATAATTGTATGTAAATGCAGCAGCTGTTTGTTCAAGAATGCAAAGTGTTTCTTTACTTTATCTAATGTGTTTACACGGGACAGTTTCTACTTTAAATAATAGTTATTACTGTTCATGCTGTCACAACACATTTGAGCTGAAAACTGATCATAAAAAGTAATTAAGAGTTCAAACTGGATTGGTATTCTGCCACCAAACCCCTTTGCCACATTCTGAATTACTAAGGTCAAAGGACTGTCCTCTTGACCAGACTAAAACATTTCAGTTATAATCCCCGATACCTATGAATTATAAATCAGAAAATAAGGGTGAATGAAAAAAAGATAGCCTGTAGGGCTAGTAATAAACCTAAGTAAACTCAACAGATGTATAATTGCAACAGAAAACATGTTATACACTTACTGATGGAAACATATACAGGAAAAATATGAAAGGTAGTTTATAACTAAACCAACTTTCCTTAGCTTAAGCTAAATGCACTCTGGAGTAGAACACAAGCTACCGGGGTGTCCAGATGATGGGGGGGGTGCAGGGATAGCTCAATGGTTTGAGCATTGGCCTGCTAAACCCAGGGTTGTGAGTTCAGTCCTTGAGGGGGCCACTTAGGGATCTGGGGCAAAAATCATTGCTTGGTCCTGCTAGTGAAGGCAGGGGGCTGGACTCGATGACCTTTCAAGGCCCATTACAGTTCTAGGAGATAGGATATCTCCATTATAAATAAATAAATAAATTGTACACACAACAATCACCCTTCCTGCAGGAGTGCTTGGCTGGCAGACATTTTAGGAGTAAGTTCCCTTTGAGAACACATAATTTATGCAACTTCAATCTTCTCATATCCACTTTCCTAGAGGCTTTTTATGCAGGTTAAGTTCTTCCTACACAAAATCATTTACAACCTAGCTGAACTGGAGCTCACCCCCTCAGCTTAGGGCTTTAACTCTATTCTACTAGTTAGCTAAGCCTGCAAACAAACAAACAAAAAAACCAAAAACCCAACCCCCCAAAAAGTACTCCACTGCTTTTGGAATGTGCATTTCTAGTTTCTAGGGTGTTACTCTGTGGTCTCAGTGTTTCCACGCCCACAGCTAGAACTCTGAAGTTTCACTCATTTCCACAGCTTGTAGCAGTCAATTCTCATGTTCTTACCACCCAACATTTAAAAAACAAAAGACCACACACACAGTTTGATATAAACTGAAGCTTCGTTATTTAGTCTTTGCCCAAGCAAATTCACATAGTTTTATGTAAATGCTTTATTGCAGCAGATATATTAAGTAACCTGAACTAATCTTAGAGCCTGTATAACTTACCAAACCTTAAAGTCAGTAAGATGCCAATTTTATCTTAGCATGCGCGCGCGCGCACACACACACACACACACACACACAGCTTTTTGTTTGCTACTGTGACAGGAAGTTGCTCATGGTTTCCCCTTAACCCGATTTTTCCAGTTTTCCGTAGCTGCAAAGACTGGCTAGAAAATAACATGCAGAAGCAATATCTGCAGAGTCTTACATTCCAAATGGGATGGAGTGAAGGCAACTTTTAGGGCTATCAACAACGGCAGTAATTCCTTTCACTGAATGGTCTTCTGGCTCCTTTTAGCTGCCTACAAGCATTGTCTTGGATCTTCTATCTAGTCAATCCCATTTCTTTCTCCATTTCCAGGTTTCTTGAGTGCTCTGTCCATTCCAGTTATATAGACTCCCATTCCAACTCAGCTCATGTACTATGGCTAAGGATACAGTTCTGTCACGGAGGTCACGGATTCTATGACTTCAGCGGATCTCCATAACTTCTTCAGCTTCAGCCCACCGCAGCAGCCAGCAGTCAGCCCTGGAGGGGCGCCCAGTGTTAGTCTTCCCCCAGGTATTTTTAGTAGAAGTCATAGACGACGTGAATTTTTGTTATTGCCTGCGACCTGTCTGTGACTTTTATTAAAAATACCTGGGACAAAAATCTTAACTTTAATGATGGCAATGGAGGTCATATATGGACCTAAATAGACAGAACTCTTTCCATAATCCCCTCCTTATTTCCTTGAAGCCATCCTCACAACTACACAGCTTCCTACACCTGAAATGCTGCCCCGTATTTGTTTCTGTCTGAATAGGACTGAAAGATTCTGGGTCAGGGTTCATAAATTATTCCATGATCTATGAAGCACTATGGAAATAGTAAATGTAATACATTGTAAGTCAGTGTTTAAACCTTTCAATTGATGTATTTAGCTGGTAGAAGACACATTTTACTAAGAAAACTGGAGTCTTACCTGATCTTCTGCCCTTACAGTTAGTGTGTCCTGGTTCAGGAGATGTGTCACACGTTTAACATCAAGCTGTAGAAACTCATCTGTCTTGTAAACTTCAGTGAAATGTTGATGGATAAAGTCATCTGCAGTGGCCTTCAGTTCTGGACAGTCTAGGCATTCTGCTAATACACTTATACCTATACAGGGAGGTGGAAAATATAAAAAGGTGTTGGACTTTTCCCAAAGTTTGTATTGCAAGAAGTTTTCATACACGCCAATGGAATAAGTATCTCTGAAACGATGGTATTTTTATTACTTACATAGCACACAGTTTTACCTATAGCACCCATAACTCATCTGCAAGTCAAGCTGAAAGAACTAAGTGCTTCTCTTCTTCTGAAACTGGAGGCAAACACCAATTTATGGATTTATCTCAGTGGAAAGGAGGGAAAGAAATACACCTCTACCCCGATATAATGCGACTCGATATAACCCGAATAAGCAGTGCTCCGGGGGGGCAGGGCTGCGCGCTCCGGCAGATCAAAGCAAGTTCGATATAACGTGGTTTCACCTATAACTCAGTAAAAATTTTTGGCTCCTGAGGACAGCGTTATATCGGGGTAGAGGTGTACTTCTATCACAATATAATGCTATTCCATTTTTTGTTCCCAATCCTGTGCAAGCCCATAATTGGATCAGGTTAATGGGTCTCTTCACAGGCAAAGCTAGTTGTAGAATTGGGACCTCAGTTTATAATGAAAACAACATCAGTTCCTTAAAAAGTGTCAAGAACATGACAGTATAATCTTCATTTCTGTTAAACAGGATCCTATACTTAAATCCACGGAACCTCTTATAAGAAATATTGTTTGTAGAAGCTGCTCTGAAACTTGAGTTGATCTAGGTGGGATAAGTTTTTAGTAATATTATACAGTTCATAAGTTTCCAAGTAAAGTCTCAAAAGTTTATGACATATTGAATGATATATACTTGATTTGTGCAAATTCTGTTGTCTTTTAAAAAGAAAAACACCCAGCTCCAAACATTCATTGGCATTTTTCAAAGAATACCTTTAAAATGATGCATCTGTGTTAAATAATCACTTACCAAGACAGTTTGAAGCATCCACTTGCTCTTTCAAAAAATCCACACACATTTTTTTCACAGGTTCTATTTGATATTGGTTTGCTGCATCTAGTAAAGACTGGACGTTATTGCTATTAACGGAAATTCTGCAAAACACATTTAGTACAAAATGAGCAACACAAACTACCAAGCTACTGGAGTTTGAAACATTTAAACAAAGTTACACAAAAACATCTGCAAAATTATTTCCCCACTCTTTCCCAGCCAGCTTTACCTTACATTTAAGGGTGAGATGTATTCTTTCTTTGGGTCCTTTCCTGCCCTCCCCTAATAATGTATGTAAGCATAACAATAAGCAAATAAAGACAGGTTGGAATCACTGGTCCTTAATTCTAAAGGATGATTCTTAACCTCTGGACATTTGTAGGGGCCTGATCTTGCAACCCTCATTTGTATAATTAGCCCTTATACAAGTGGTAGCAGATTGAAGGAACGGACCGACCATCTCTTCATCAAGTGTCACCCCACAGTCCTTTTAGCCCAAATAAGCTCAATATAAACATTCCAGGTGACTGAAGTACTATTTAAAAGCAGAAGAGAAAAGAAATATTGTTATGAAGTTTACAGAAGTACCCATCTAATCTTCCTAGAAACATTTGCCCCAGTCCTGCAAGCTATTCTGCATATGCAGACTCTGGTGACCGGCGCCCATGTAGAGCTCCATTGATGTTAACAGGGGCATATGCAAGTCCCTGCCCACAGACAGCAGCTTGCAGGATCCGAGCCTTTGGTATCTCTTTCACTGATATTTGTATCTATCAGTTTTAGGTGCTGTCAGACCGATGTTTAGAGACTCCATGTAGCAATGCAAACAGCACATTTAAGCATTTGGGAATGTTTATTTAGAAACAAAAGCAAAAACTTGCCAATTATATATTCAATTTTTTAAAAAAGTTCCTAACCTGGAACAACAGAAACCCTGTTTTATTAAGTTACATCACTATGGCCCTCATCACACGAGCACATTAGAGTTCAACTATACACACTTAAGCTATATCCACACATGGAACTAGGGGTGTCATTCTAAGCTCGCGTACACGTACTTCTCTAGCTCGACTCAGCTTGTACTTGACACAGCTTAGATGAGAGCTAGCGTAAATATGTTTACACGAGCAGGGGAAATCATACTCCTAGCTCCTACTGTACATGTACACACACGTAGTCCCATTTAAGATACAAGTTTAAGTGTTTTCAGGATCAAGGCATACATTATTAATATTTTAGTTGGAATAACTATTTGAATGACTATGGTACAGAGAAAAAACTTTACCAATGTTAACAAATTTTAAGGAAGACTTAAATAAGGAGCTATAAATAGTAACAAGTGGCTGAACTACACACGCTTTTTTTTTTCTTTGAGATTTTATCATTTATAAATAGTATACTAAGCTTTAAACTTTGTGGCAAAAATGACAAATTTTTAAACAACAAGCTACCTTGCAGTATAAGCAAACTCCACAAGCTGTTCAATAATGTCAGGCTCTGCATCTTTTAGCTCCACTTCAAAGGACTTTGATTCAAGCATATTTGCTGCAATGAAAAGTAACAATAGAACTACATCAGTCTATCATTCTCTGAGCAGTTATTTTTCCACCAGTCACAAAAATCAGCAGTAAAGCAACTATGCCAAGGGGAAAACCTTAAAACAAAAACAAAACAAAACCAGCATTCCCAGAACCTAAATATTCACACACAGGAACTATTTAAATAGAAACAAAATTAATTTATACTTTATCATAATATAAAAGTTTATTATTAATATTCCAATAATAACTTCACTTTTGTAAGTTCTACTCACATTTAAGAACATAAGAACTAGGGCTGTCAATTAATCGCAGTTAAGTCACACGATTAACTCAAAATAAATTAATCGTAATTAATCGCAGTTTTAATTACACTGGTAAACAATAGACTACCAATTGAAATGTATTAAATATTTTGGATGTTTTTCTACATTTTCATATATATATATATATATTGTATTCTGTGTTGTAACTGAAATCAAAGTGTGTATTATTTTTATTACAAATATTTGCAGTGTACAAATAATAAAATAAAGAGTATTTTTCAATTCACCTCATACAAGTACTGTAGTGCAATCTCTTTGTTATGAAAGTGCAAATTACAAATGTAGATTTCTTTGTTGTTACATAACTGCACTCAAAAACAAAACAATGTAAAACTTCAGAGCCTACAAGTCCACTCAGACCTACTTCTTGTTCAGCCAATCCCTAAAATAAACAAGCTTGTTTACATTTACAGGAGATAATGCTGCCCTCTTCTTATTTACAATGTCACCTGAAAGTGAGAACAGGCATTTGCATGGCACTTTTGTAGCCAGCATTTCAAGATATTTACAAGCCAAATGCGCTCAAGATTCATATGCCCCTTCATGCTTTGGCCACCATTCCAGAGGACATACTTCCATGCTGATGACGCGCGTTAAAAAAAAAGTGTTAATTAAATTTGTGACTGAATTCCTTGGAGGAGAATTGTATGTCCCCTGCTCTGTTTACCCACATTCTGCCATACAGTTCATGTTATAGCAGTCTCAGATTATGAGCCAGCACATGTTGTTCATTTTAAGAACACCTTCACTGCAGATTTCACAAACACAAAAAAGGAACCAATGTGAGGTTTCTAAAGTTAGCTACAGCCCTTTACCCAAGGTTTAAGAATCTGAAGTGCCTTCCAAAATCTGAGAGGGACGAGGTGTGGAGCATGCTTTCAGAAGTCTGAAAAGAGCAATGCTGCAATGCGGAAACTACAGAATCCGAACCACCAAAAAAGAAAATCAACCTTCTGCTGGTGGCATCTGACTCAGATGATGAAAACGAACATGCGTCGGTCCACAATACTTTGGATTGTTATCGAGCAGAAGCGGTCATCAGCATGGACGCATGTCCCCTGGAATGGTGGTTGAAGCATGAAGGGACATACAAATCTTTAGCGCATTTGGCTCGTAAATATCTTGCGACACCAGCTACAACAATGCCATGAGAATGCTTGTCCTCACTTTCAGGTGACATTGTAAACAAGAAGCAGACAGCAT